TTTCAAAGGGTTTTTACAGTAACTTACTGGCAACACTGTTGCCAGTAAGTTACTGTATTTTAGATTTACAGTATACAACTGTAAATCCGTTTACAGCATGTTACCGTAGTGTCTGAAAATGGTTAACTACTGTAAAAACCTAAGTTAACAGTAAGCTACTGTAAACCTTTTAATTTTGTCCTAAATATTTTATAATATAATTTTATTAATATTATTTTAATACTATAGACCTAAAAAATACACAATTACAAAATATTAACAAAATAAACACTCTTTATTTAAAACATTTGAGATGCTTAAAACAAGCTTAAAAATGTGTAAAAACATTACATTTCAATCATTCAAAATATTTTATTTTAAGAAAAAAAACATTGAAAATGACAAAGCACATTAACATACATGTACAAAACTAATTTAAGTGTCTGACCTGCATATTGTTGAGAAAAAAACCCCAATTGTACTAAGTACTACTGACATTAAACCAGACACAATTACAAAATATTCCATTCTTTAAAACATTAATAATGCTTAAAGCATTTAAGGAAAATGTGTGAAAATTACATTAAGCAATAAAATCAACGCATTAAAAATAAATAAATCACACAAAGCACTAGAACATACATGTACAATAAAAATTTAAACTTCTGAATTGCATATTGTTGGAAAAATAAATATTTGTAACTATTAGCCGACTCAGAAACAACCCAACTTTAAAATATTACTAATTCTGGTGTCAAATGCTCAACAAGGTCTGAATTCACATGTTCAAATGCAATTCATCTTTATTTCTATTGCACTTTTACAATGTAGATCAATGATGTCAAAGCAGCTTAACATAGAAGTTCTTGTAAATTAAAGCTGCTTCGGTCCAGTTTTCAGAATTGAAGCAGTAAATGTCACTGCTGAAAGTCCAAACACTGAAGAGCAAATCCACCGATCCACCAATCGTAGCCAAGCGATCCAGTGGCGACAGTGGCATGGAAGAAACTTCACCAACTGACGAAAGTGTAGAATAAAATCCCTTGAGAGATACCAGGCTCAGTTGGGCACGACCAGTTCTCCTCTAGCCAAACTTGTGCAAGGCCGCAGTCTAGGCACCGGAGGCTTGAAAGTTCACCAGCGGGTGGTCAGGCTGGCCCATTGGATCAATGCGGAAACTCATTGATCACATGTGTCTTTTAGGATCCTCTGGAATTATTTATCCAAAAATTTTTATTATTTTATTTATTACAAAATATTTAGGCAACATGAAATGGGGAAAAAGACATTTAATACATAGACAAATGCATGTATCCCAATACTAATTATTGTATTTTGAAATGTCTGACCCATGACAGACCTCAATCTGCTCAAAAATATTATAAACAAAGATGAAAAAAACCCTAATAAATGGTTTAATAAAAAAGGGAAAAAGATTTTTTATTTAGCTAGCAACTAAACATGTGACACATTTTGTATTAAAAGTAACGTTACTATATTGAGAAACAAATAGATGTACAGTACTTACTGTTGTATGAGGTCCAGTTTGCACAGGCAGGCTCCCAGTATTCTATATTGAGACCATAAAAAAGCCAAAAATACAGATAAGAATACCATGCTACAATCCACAACCTCCACACAACTTTTTTTTATTTGTTTACCTTGGTTGCTTACTGGTCTTGCTTATTTTTTAAGCATAAGGCTGTGCTGATCAAGATGTTCCTCCGAAATGCTGTTTGTTTCTTCAGACAAAAACTGCTGCTGTGCCAGTGCCATATCTAAACAGAAAAAAATATAATGGTAACAATTATGTTAAACCAAATGTCAAGAGTTGTGATAAAAAAAATAATTAGCAAACAATAAATAGCAAAAAGGTGGTTATTAGCATAATGCATAGAGGTAAAGTTGGTTTTATATTAGCAGATTCAGACTTCCCCCTTAATAATTTAATTTCATAAAAGTATTATTTGCAAACTCTAAATAGCGAAATCATTTTAGCAGCTAATGACTATCAAAGTACAACATGCTCACGGTCAAATAAACAGTGTTAATGTTGATTTCAAGTCATACTGGCATGCTAATTCTGATCGAATATTCAAAGTAACATGGTAAACAGTATAGAGTCTTCTAAATGAACGAATGTGCGAATATAAAACCAACTTTACCTCTATGCATATTGTAACGTTATAGATTTACGTTAACGTTCTTATAGGTTAACGTCGCGATGTTATTTTCACAAGCTAACGTTATAAGTTACTCTAAACCAGAGAAAAATAAGTTTACAACATCTAATATATATAGTATAAATCAATATAAGTTAAACGTTGCACGTTAAAATGAGTTTGAGTCCAATTCAGTATAAACTTAGCTCAGTTTAGCTAACAGTTAACATTACCATTTTAAGATCGTTCAGCCAATGTTGCCGAGCAAACAAATCCTAATAGAGGTGCTTAAATCAATGTCGAGTGTTGTCAGCACAGACAGACGCGCTTTTACCTGGATTATTTGATGGTCTTTCATTAATATTCTTCTGGGGGAAAACACTCCCTGCCGGACCGTTGTCTCGTGCTAAGTGTCCTCCAAAACTGTCTGCATACCTCTGGTTCCCTCCTAAACCAAAACCCGCTGCAACACCGGTTCCTATGTAAATAAATAAAAAGATATGACGAGAACAATGGCTAATAGTCATAAACAGTCTTATTTAAAGTAATAGTAGTGTTAATGTAATAAATTAAATAAAGGTAACATCTTAATAGATGATATATTTCTCAAATGGGCGAAATAACGCCAAGCCAGAGAAAATAATAATAGCCAACTTTATACTTTACTTTGTTCTATTCTCGTCCACAAAACATTCTGTAAAATGAAACACTGCCTCAGCTTACCAGAGTAAAGTTTGTTAAATCCAGTATGTTCTTCAGGCACACTAATAAATTGTCCTCCAGATTTGCTCCAGGGTCCTCAGGCAAAATGTGGTGCAGAGTAGTCGAATCGCCGCAAGGTGGCGTCGAAGCAGTTGTGGAAAATACAGTATAATACACGAATTTTTACAAATACAGTACATCGCTGTATATGTTGTTCGACGTCACACCAAATTCCCATAATGCAACGGTAAATACAGTTATTTACCGTAAAAGGAATTTGCAGTATTACACTGGGTGAAATACAGTAAATAACTGTGTAATTTACAGAAATGTCTAACAGTGTGTAGCTCTTTTATGAAACGGTAGTTAATTACATTTTAAATCACAATTTTCATTAAACAAATCACAGTTAGTTTTTTTTTTTTTTTATCATGCAGCCTTAAAACCTGTAGTGCACAGGTGTCAAACTCAGTTCCAAAAGGGCCGCAGCTCTGCACAGTTTAGTTCCAACCCTAATTAAACACACCTGATCAAACTAATTGAGTCCTTCAGGCTTGTTTGAAACCTACAGGTAAGTGTGTTGGAGCAGGGTTGGAACTAAACTGTGCAGGGCTTCGGCCCTCCAGGAATTGAGTTTGACACCCCTGTTGTAGTGCTTTAGAGAGTAGAGACTAAATATAATAATTAAATATTGAAATAAATGGGGTAGTTGTCCCAAACTGAACTGCCAACATCTCAATGATAGGAAGATAATAAGTAAATAGATAATGGACCATTTTCACATTTGCACAAATCTCAGCAGAGAAATTTTTCAGTTTGGTATTATATTTCTTGTATTCCTATTTGCTTAAATAATAAAAGAAAACTTCCACAAAAGTGTTTTTATGACATTCAAAAATAAAATAAAATAAATAAAATATTTGAGATGGCAACCAAAACAGAAAAAAAGTAAAATGTGCTGTCCTACCAATAGACCAACAAAACTGCATTACAAACAGTATTGCAAGTATTTTTGTAATTTGATGCAAAGATTATATAATACAAACAATAGCTTTATAAATGTACTTTAGAAAAAAATCTATATATCAAAACTTTCAAGAACTTGTGAAAAGGGTCCACAGTCAGACGATTCGAATGTTATCACTTGATTGAATGGGCGTTATGAGATAATAGATATGGGCCTACTAGTAGGCTTAAAAGGCTGTTATCATCCATCCACATGGTTAATTAGCTATAGATCACATACGGCTGCATCTGGAAGTTAACAAAATTTATTTATATTTTTTATTAAATTTCCCATTATTTATATTTTATTTACCTCTACCCCTACTCCAACTCTAAACTAAAACCATTACAGTAATGTAAAAACAGATCTGAATCTGGAGTCTTGTCTATTAGTATAGCTGATTAACAACGAGAATTATTTATATTATTTATTAAATTTCCCATTTATTGTATTTTATTAACGTCTACCCCTACTCCAACACTAAACCCAACCATTACAGGAATGTAAAAACAGATCTGGATCTGGAGTCTTCTCTGTTAGTATAGCTGATTAACAACGAATATTATTTATTAAATTTCCCGTTAATTGTATTTTATTAACGTTTACCCCTATACCCCAACCCTAAACTCAGCCATCACAGTAATGTAAAAACAGATCTGGATCAGGGGTCTTCTCTATTAGTATAGCTGATTAACCATGTAAATGGATGATAACAGCCTTCTGAACCTACTAGTAAGGGCAGAAGGCCCCTACTGGCCCATATCTATCAGCTGATAACCACTGATAATGCTCATTAAATCGAGTGATAACATTCAAAGCGGGTGCCATAGTAAAAATCTGTCCTTAAACTAAATTTAAAAAAAAAAATTGCCATATAAAACTACAAATAATAACACTTTTGTGAGTGAAAATGTATGCTAGATAAAAAACAAATATCTATAATTAAATCAGGACAGACACTGAAAAAGAAATGAAAACTAAATCAGTATTACAGTTGAATTGTTTTGATGCTTAAAATCCACTTTTGGTCTCAGACCCAGGTGTGATTCATGCATAATTGAAACACGCCTGGTTTCAAACAGTCTTTGAAAAGTGCTTTCATTGGCATAATGCTGGTATAATCATGATTATATCCCTACATTTTGTGGCAGAAGCAATTATGCAACGTGGTGGTGGATATGAAGCTGATGGACCTGAAGGACTGTTTGCCAGAGGGCTTCACTCCCATCCAAGACACCATGGATACCCGTAAGCATGGTTTCCTTCAGAAAATTCTGTTTTCTTTTTCATCCACTTTCTCTCTCTCTCTCTCTCTCTCTCTCTCTCTTCTCTGTAGTCATCCTGAGGGAGCGCTTCTCCAGAGCTTGTGAATGTGAATGTTTCATGGGCTCAGGTTTAGCTTAATTTATGATAGCGCGAGCGAGTAAAATAAACATTTTGCCCCGGAGGAAGGAGGAGAGGAGAACGATGAGTCATTGTTTATCTCTGCCAGAACCCAGCTTTTTCTTTATGATGTGCTTATTTATTTATGTATTTATTTGTGCAGAGCGGGAGTGGATGGTGGTTATCTAATATTAATGAAATGCATTCCCTTGATGCTTTAGTGCTTTTTGAGTGCTACGTATTTCTCCCCTTCTCGTCTTCTCTCTTCTCCTCTCACCGCAATATTCTTTTGGCATCGGGAGTGAGGGCAGCATGTTTATTATTTTCATTATTATTGCATTTACACAGCCCTCGCCCCTGACGCCGCCTCGAAACGAATGGGACGGGCTCAGGAGTAATATGGCCCAGTCTGGTAGGAATTGCTAAAAAAGGAAGATGGAGTCTCGTCGGGTGCTGATTTTAATGCGCCGCTTTATTGTGGTAAAGTCATGTTTAATAGATGCCACCGCCACTGTATTGTGGTTTCATTCTCAGTCACGTCGGTTATATCATTGATGCTGAAGATTCCCTTCTTGCGCCCAGTGGCGTTTTTATGTAATTATGATGGGCTTTCATATACTGCTGTGATGTTTTGGGGCTTAAGGCGCATATAGGTTGCATTTATAAGGGTTTTAAATATTAATACATATTTTAGCTTGTCTGTTGGAAAAAAAATTGTGGGGAAATAGGGACATTCATTTATTTATTTATTATTTTTTAGGAAGTAGTTTTAGCTCCTTAGTGTAGGGGCTTTTATTCTGGGGACCCTCACAATGAAGTCTATTTATCTATCTATCTATCTATCTATCTATCTATCTATCTATCTATCTATCTATCTATCTATCTATCTATCTATCTATCTATCTATCTATCTATCTATCTATCTATCTATCTATCTATCTGTCTATCTGTCTGTCTGTCTGTCTGTCTGTCTGTCTGTCTGTCTGTCTGTCTGTCTGTTGAGTCATTTAGCAGATGCTTTTATCCAAAGCGACTTACAAATGAGGACAAGAAAGCAATTTACACAACTATAAGAGCAACAATGAATAAGTGCTGTAGGCAAGTTTCAGGTATGTAAAGTGTAAGAAGCAAAACATTAGTAATATTTTATTTATTATTATTATTATTTTTTTGTTATACAGATAGCGGTAGAACCCGAGAGGCAATTGCAGATTAGGAAGGGAAGTGGAGAATAGTTGAGTTTTTAGTCGTTTCTTGAAGACAGCGAGTGAGTTCGGGAAAGTGATTTCTTCCCTCTTTGGGATGGAACCACGAGGCAACGTTCATTCACAAAACGCAAGTTTCTGGAGGGCACATAAATCTGCATAAGTGAGAGCAGATAAGAAGGAGCAAAGCCAGAAGTCGCTTTGTAAGCAAACATCAAAGCTTTGAATTTGACGTAAGCAGCAACTGGCAGCCAGTGAAAATGGATGAGCAGCGGAGTGACATGTGCTCTTTTAGGTTCATTAAAGACCACTCGTGCTGCTGCGTTCTGAAGCAGCTGAAGAGGTTTGATAGAGTTAGCTGGAAGCCCGGCTAGTAGAGAGTTGCAATAGTCCAGTCTGGAGAGAACAAGAGCTTGAACAAGGAGTTGAGCTGCATGTTCAGATAGGAAGAGTCGGACCTTTCTGATGTTATAGAGTGCGAATCTGCAAGATCGAGCAGTTCTAGAAATGTGGTGAGAGAAATTTAGTTGGTCATCAATTGTTTCTCCAAGGCTTTTCACCGTTTTGGATGCAGTAATGGTTGCCCCATGCATCTGGATTGAAAAGTTATGACCTGGTGGTTTACAGTGTCAAAAGCAGCTTTTGATGAGGACTGATGATTTAGAGTCTGCTTTAGCCAGTCTGAGATCCTCCACGACCGAGAGCAGGTCAGTCTCAGTTGAGTGGCCTTTCTTAAAGCCAGATTGCTTGTTATGTCCATTATGTTGTTTTGAGTAAGAAAGTCCAGGACTTGATTGAACACAACTTTCTCCAGAATCTTGGCCATGAATGGAAGCAGGGATACTGATCTGCAGTTTTCAAGTAGGGTTTGATCCAGGTTGGGTTTCTTTAGCAGTGGGGTTACCCTAGCCTGCTTAAATGAAGTGGGGAGTCAATAGATGTGTTAATTGTGTGAGCCAGTGTTGGTATGACTGCAGGAGAAATGGCTTGCAAGAGATGAGAGGGAATGGGATCAAGTGGACAGGTGGTTGCATGGCTAGATAGCACAAGTTTGGTCACAGACTCAGAGAGCTGAGAAAAAGAGGTGAGTGTATGTGGTGTTGTTTGTGTATCTTGCCTGTTTGTCGTAGTAGCACCAAATTGAGCTCTGATTTTTGCAGTTTTGGTGCAAAAGAATGTAGCAAAGTCATCAGTAGTAAGTGTGGAAGATAAGGGTGGAGGAGGAGGACAGAGGAGGTAGGAAAATGTTTTAAAGAGAAAGGGAGGATTGGTGTCATTGTTAATTTTTTTTGATAGAAGTATGTCTGTTTTGCAGAAGTAACATCAGCCGTTAACAAATTATTTAATCACATAAGAAATGTGATTAAATACAGTTCAACTAAATTATCAAAAATTGAATGAAATAACTAAATAGGTTGAATATATACAATATAAATAAATATATACAAATCAGTTAGATTAAAATAAATGACAAATATTTTAAACGAATGAATAAATAAATAAATAATTGTATCCATAAACATATACAAAAATAAAACATTTAAAATAAAAAATTAAAAATTAAGTAATTATAAAGTGCTCCGCATATATAAGTACACCCCTCATAAATCTATCTTTTAAATTGATATTTTAAATAGGAAGCTATACAATGTTATGTGTGTGCATATACATTAGATTAGTCAGCCAAATCCAAATCTGGAGCTTATCTAATAAATAACTTACGATAACAGTCCAAAAACAAGTACAACCAAATTTATTTTATAAAAAATCTTAAATACAAATTTAAAAAAGAGAAAAAATCAAGAGAAGCAAAAAAATTTAATAAAATAAATAAAGAAATAAATAATTGTAATTATTGAATTTAATTGTATTATCTTTCAATTTCTAAATATGTTTGGTGACTAAAATATTATTTTAATAAATATATTTTAATAAATCTGTTTTGTTTAAATGCACCAAAATACATTATGAAATGCTTATATTCATTGAGAAATGGATAGAAATATTCAATATATATATATTTTTTCAATATATACAAAATGTCGTCAATTATGCTGAGCACTGTATAATATCGTTCATATGTTTCTGTGCAAAATAATCATGCTAGTAATCACCCAGTTATGGTTCTGATTAGGTGTATACTATTTATGCCTAATTTCATCTCATCTCATACAAATAATCCACACATCAAGTCAATCTCATACAAAAAATCCACTAACTTCCCTAAACAGAAAAAGGTTACCCTTTCCTCTGGGATCAGATAAAATTCCTCTTGAAATTCTCAGTCAACTCTCTATATACTCAAGTGTATCCTTTAAGTTATAAAAATCACATCCAGCACCCAAACGCATTTTTAAAATGTAATTTCATACATAACCTTTTATTGATCCTCAAGGCACATAATGTTGCATTTATAAGATGTTCAAATATTAATGCACATATCTCTGTCTAAATACACCATTAGGAAATATAATTTTTTTTTATAAAAACAGACTGTTGTGTCATAATTTACATGTCTTCCCAAACCCAAGCAGGTCAAGCAAATAAGTTTGACGCATTGATTTTAGCTCAGAATCTATGAAAGATATAAAGGCACATATGGATTCTAGTGTAAATGTTTTTAGACTGCTGATAAATGAAAGATATAACGAGGGCTGTTTATGTTATGACTGTTATTTCTCTTTCTGTCTCAGAGGAACAGGCTTTGAGGAAGGAGCGGCTGTGTGTGAAGTTCGTCCCCCGAAACAGCACTGATACGGCGATCTGCGATGTGCTTATACAGGGAAAATCAAAGCACAGCCTCGCTAATTATACATTTATAGGGTAAGAAATCATATATCTGGATAAAGCGAGCATGCTGGTATCACAAACATGAGAGTTATTTCTGTGTGCGTTTGATGTGGATGTTTTTTCAGTCACTATTCCCTCTGAGGGGGAAAGTAGTACCAAAGTAAATATCCTGGAGCCATGTTTATAATGCTGTCTGAATCGTCATTTTTTAAGCGAAGTGGATTGTTGTTCTGGTCTGCCGGTGTTTTTTTGACCGGCTTGTGTTTCCTCTGGTGCCCCACAGTGCCTGCGGCCTGCTATAGGCATTATGGGAACCTGCTTTTCTTGTGTAGTTTTTCCAACTGTGTTTAAAGCCACCCAAGACATGTCTTAGAGGTATTAGATGGTATTTGAATGACAATTTTTTATGCTTCATACTATATAGAGTAGGAAGATGTCTGTATAGGGCGTTTGCAGGTTTATGTATTAGATTTTAACATAATGATTTGAATATGGTGATTTGTTGCTAAAAACAAATATTATGGGTATTGTATTTTTATCATATATGTTTAATCTATTAGTTAACTGTTATTATTATTAATATTGTTCGGGATTTATTGATTAATAGAATGTTCTGCATGCTTATAAGTGCTCAGAAAATAATTCAAGATATTTTTGTAACTTATATGAAAATTACTTTTACTGTTACTTTTAATCATTCGTGACCCTGGAGTTATGTTGCATGGATTTTCCTTTATGCCAAAAATCATTCGAATTTTAATTAAAGTCCATGTTTAGTGAAAAATATTTTTTTAATTTACTACACTAAATATATATAATCTCTTTTTATTTATTTTTTTGCTTGGCTTAGAATTTCATTTGGACAATTTTAAAGACAATTCTCTTTATGTTTCATATTCTATATTATTTTTTAACCCTGAAACTGTTGGATCTTGTCTAAATATTGTTCTATCCTAACAAAGTAAACATTAAAGAAAGCTTATGGTGTAGAAATCTCAGCTTTTTAAAAATATTTTTATTATCAAAAATATTATTTTATTATCAAATTTTTATTGTGTGACCCAACTTTTTTACCATATAATGTGTAAATACCACTTTATTATTTAACACTTTAACACTTTATTATTTAACACTTATTTAACATGTCCTTTCTAAAAAATAAAATAAAAAAGAAATTGACACCAAACCTTTGAACATGTAGTGCATAGTTATCACTTTTCCTGCAAAATGTAATGCATTTTAATCAATCAATCAGTCAATCAATCAATCAATCAATCAATCAATCAATCAATCAATCAATCAATCAATCAATTAATCAGTCAGTCAGTCAGTCAGTCAGTCAGTCAGTCCGTCAGTCAGTCAGTCAGTCAGTCAGTCCGTCCGTCCGTCCGTCAGTCAGTCAGTCAGTCAGTCAGTCAGATAAACAAACATTACTGTCCGCAGAAATTATACACTGTAAATAATATCTGTAAATTGACAGTTTTTATATTTTTTGTGATTCATGTTTTTCCCCCCACTTATTTATGCTTTTGAATCGCATTATGGGACTTTGATCTTACTTCCAACAACTTTTAACCTTGAAAAGTTTTATGAACATTTGTAATAGTTTAAAGTGATATTTTGTCTGGGTTGGTGTTGTATATTATGCTGCAAAAACCTTGTAATAAGCTGCTAGTGCATTTTCTGTTATTTTAAGAATTTATTCATTCATTTTTGGCTTAGTTTCTTAATAATCTGTGGTCGCCACAGCGGAATGAACCGCCAACTTAAACAGCATATGTTTTTATGCAGCAAATGCCCTTCCAGCTGCAATCCATCACTGGGAAACATCCATACACACTTATTCACACACATAAACTACGGACAATTTAGCCTACCCAATTCACCTATACCACATATCTTTGGACTGTGGGGGAACCCGGAGCACCCGGAGGAAACCCAAGCGGACACGGGGAGAAGATGCAAACTCCACACAGAGACGCCAACTGACCCAGCCAAGGCTCAAACCTTTGACCTTCTTGGTGTGAGGCGAACGTGCTATCCACTGTGCCACTGTGCAGCCTTTAGGAACTTAGTTCTCTATGCATTATTTCTTTGTTTGTACTTTGTTAAACTGTAGAGTTGAATTTCCAACATCAAAATTTGACAGAGCAGAGATAAACATTCCATAATGCAATTAACAACTGTAAATAAACAGAAAGCACAAAATTAAAAAAAACTGTTAATTAACTGGATGTTCATTTGCAGTGTTTATTTGCATATAACACAAAGCTCAAAAACACTCACATGTGTTCTTTCTAGAATAACATTATTAATTTCTTTTAAAAAATCTATCTGAACCTGTACATAATATTTGACTATATATTTTCAAGACACTTCTATACAGCTTAATCTGGCATTTAAAGGCTTAACTAGGTTAATTAGGTTAAAGGTGCAGTAGGTGATTGTCTTTAGAAACATTTTTTGTTGTGCTGGTTTAAAGTTTCTCCAGTCTAATAGTAATGATTATAGTAATTAATCTAAATGTGTTTATATGTATTTTTATATTTGGGGTAAGATATAAAACTAAAAAATGTTCATCCAATTAAATATTGTCGGGCCGACATCTCCCATAATTCTGATAAGTAGCTCAAACTGTCTTTCAGCAAATGTAGATTCAGACTTCTGCGCATCTGTTCATGTAGATCCGCCATTCGCTTGTGCCTGCCTGCATGAGCGCCGCACGTTCACTAGACAACCACAGACGCTGTGAAATCAAATGCTAAATTGAAAGTTTTGAAAATCCTGAATCAATATGGGAGTTACTTTTGCACGCTGGAGGAAGGACGACACCATAGCTGAAGTATTACTGTTAGACAGGTACTGTTCTGTTTTAAAACCTTTTTAGTCAGGCTAAGCTTATGTTAGATTTTGTTGTGTTTTGAATGGCTTATGGACATATTTGTTGTTCAGCCACTGAAATCTCCCGGTGAAAGATTGATGTGACTATTTTCAGTTTTATAAGGGACCTTTGACAGCATTGATAATGTAGATTTTTATTTAGTTTAACAACAAAACATCAGTAAATATTGCTATTCCGCCTAACCTGGTTTATTGAGCTGAAATTGGTTTTATATTCACATTGGTTCAATGGTTCATTTTGTCTTCCTATTCTGTTTACCATGCTACTCTAAATATTTGCTCTGAAATAGCATGTAAGTGTGCCTTAGTAATAAATGTAATTCCTGCACGCCGCCGGGCGGCCAAACATTAACTAACTGGCGAATGACATGAACTAGTGGGTTGTCTGCTGTTGTGCGGGATGCACGCGTTCGCAATTTCAGGAGGCGTGGCTTTGAATCACAGTCCCTCCCCGCCGTACAAAGATAATATGCTAAGCGGCTAGCATTTTGGCAGATCACCTACTGCACCTTTAACTAGGCAGGATAGGGTTATCAGGCAAAAATATTATCAGACATACTGTGAAAATTTCCTTGCTCTGCTAAACATCATTTGGAAAAAAATTTTAAAAGAAAAAATTAAAGGGGGGTGAATAATTCTGACTTCAAATTTATACAGTAGTATTATAACATATACATATTTATTTTCCACAGAGAGCTGAATGGTTTGGGGATTTGGTACCAGCTGGGAAAAGTCCCTAAGTCGCATGACACAACACAGAAAACATTGCCTACCTCTACAAGTATTTGTAGCATTGCCAGGTAAGTCACTTCACTAACAAAAAGACATAAGCTATATTGGCTATTTTAACAGGATGATCCTTAAACAGGAGGAATTGCTCATTTTCAAGGAGACTTCCTCAGCTGTGAGATACACTCAAGACAATTGCTTTTGCTGCTTATTGAAACTGCTTGCTTAATATGAGTTGAACCAACACAATTCTTAAGTTTTTTTTTGTGAACAACTTCATTCTTTTATGTTCTATCTACTTAAGATTGTTAACATGATTAATTTAACTTAATTAATATGTGTTGGGACAAAATGAAGAAATTGTGTGGAACCCAGCATTTTTACAGTGCACTCAACAATCAAAAAATTGGATGTCCAATTTCATGCTGAGCAGAATGTAGCATAAGAGAACTCAGTGTATTTCCATGGATAAGCTAGAGTTCGGCAGGGACAGAACAGACACGGGGTGCAGAAAGTGCTGAAGCAGGAGGAGAGTTCAGTCTGACACAAACCACAAACACACAGCCCGAAGGCCAGAAGACAGAGAGCGAGTGTGACTTTGTACCTCATCCAACTCAAACATGTCAATTATTTATGAGCAGGAAGTAGTGGGGTTTTTCCTCTGTAAATAGTAAATAAACAATCACGACTCCCCTCCAATGGTTGATGGAGCAGAGAGGTTGGTGAGGGCATGTGGATCGCGGATGGTGCCAACTTATCTGAGCGTGCCTGAAGGTCCTGGCATTGTTGTGTTGTTAGGGCCAAGCTTAGATGGAGTTTTGCTTATTTATTTATTTTTTTCGACAAACTTTGCCCGCCTCATATATCAGTGCCTTTACAACAGGCTTGCTAGTTCAGTGCTAATACCTCAAGAGTTTGCTGCTGAGCAACTTATAAGGATTTGAGATATGGCAATGTAGTCTGTTTAATATTTCATACTGCTTTGGAAGTTGCAGTTGTTGGTTGTTTAGTTTACAAAACTTGAGCTCTGCTACAAAAACTAGTCAGCGAACATCCCAAATAATGTGAAGCCTGATTTGTACCTCTCTACATACTTTAAATAGCAACTAGATGACACACAGTTCACACTCTGTGCACATGATTATGATGCATTTTAATCGTAGCATTTTACTGTGCTGCACTGTAAAATAAAATCTGTTCATTAACGATTGATTGTGGTTTGTGATTCAAAGGTGTTTTTGGTTATTTCATGCTATTTCATCAGATTTAGATTGCATTAACCGATCATCAGGATTGGATGAATTGAATCTGGCATGGTTGTTGGTACCAGACGGGCTGGTCAGAGTATTTCAGTAACTGTTGATCTATTGGGATTTTCATGCACTACTTTCTCTATGGTTTGCAGAGAATGGTGCAAAAAAGAGACAATATCCATTGAGCGGCAGTTCTGTGCTAGCAAATGCCTTGTTGATGGCAGAGGTCAGAGAATGGCCAGACTGGTTTGAGCTGATAGAAAGGCAACTGTAACTCAAATAACCACATCCAAGGTATGCAGAAGAGCACCTCTGAATGCACAACACGTTGAAACTTGAGGCGGGTGGGCTACAGCAGCAGTAGGCCACACCAGGTGCCACTCCTGTCAGCTACGGACAGGAAACTGAGGCTACAGTTTGCACAGGCTCACCAAAATTGGACAAAAGAAAATTGGAAAAACGTTGCCTGGTCTGATGAGCCTCGATTTCTGCTGTGACATTCAGAAGGTAGGGTCAGAATTAACAACATGGCATTAACAACATAAAAGCATAGATCTATCCTGCCTTGTATCAACAGTTCAGGCTGGTGGTGGTGGTGTAATGGTGTGGGGGATATTTTCTTATCACGCTTTGGGCCCATTAGTACCAATTGAGCATTGTGTCAAACCATGGTCCATGGTCAGAAACTTTATGAGCACAGTGTACCCATCTTCTGATGGCTACTTCCAACAAGATAGCATGCCATGTCATAAGGTGCAAATCATCTCAGAGTGGTTTCTTGATTATGACAATGAGTTCACTGTACTCAAATGGCCTCCACAGTCACCAGATCTCAATCTAATAGAATACCATTGGGATGTGGTGGAATAGAGATTCACATCTTAGATGTGCAGCCGACAAATCTGCCGCAACTGTGTGATGATATCATGTCAATATGGATCAAAATCTCTGAGGAATATTTGCAGTACCTTGTTGAATCTATGCCACAAAAGAATAAGGCAGTTCTGAAGGCAAAAGGGGGTCCAACCTGATACTAGTAAGGTGTACCTAATAAACAAAAATAACTGTAAGCAAAAGTAAGCAGGTAAAAAACATAGTGATAATGATAGTAAGTGATAATGTAGGGATGATCACGCGCACATGGTTAATGTTACGCCTCTTAAAAATTTGTTCAAAGAATAATTGAAACAAAAGCAGTGACCGCTGCAGCTTACAAAAGGATATATTTTAAGTTGAGCTCTTGAAAGCAGCAGGACTGTGGGTGCACGATTATCACTTTTTGTCCAGTCTATTTCAAAGAGATCTGATCGCAGCAATTGCTTTTCCTCTAGGCACGATTGCTTCGCACAAATAATTGAAAGCGCACACGCTTTTTAACAGTCATGCGCATCACATCACCTGTGCGCGCGAGCGATCATCCTCTCATTCGGTATTCACCATATTCACCTGCTTTCTTTTGCTTGCACGAACACAGTTATTTTTGTCATCAGTGCTGCTGCTCAATTCTAAGATCACATTTGCACAAACATATTTATTGTTAAACCCTGCTTTTTAGAAAGCTACAATTTACAAATGATTTCCAACCAGCCAAAGAGGCTAGTGGGAGCGGCTGTTTAACCCGCCACAGCTGAAATATACATGCATTTGGCAGGTTGGCGGATGTTAATGCCAAGCCCTGACTTCTACTACTGATAGTACTACGTCAACAACTACTACTACTGATAATACTACAACAACGTCTGCTACAACTGATACTACTACCACAGAGTCTACTACTAGAACTACTGATACAACAACAACTGCTACCACAACATCTACTACTGATACTATTATACCAAAGACAACTGAAATTTTAAAAACGTCCATTTCCCATTTCCGCACGTTCCTAAAAACTGCCGATTTTCCATTGTGTTCATGTGCTTAATGGAAATCACTGTGATTGACAAAGAAAGTCATCAGTTCACTGCTGTCCACGAAGTGCAAACACAGATACACACACTGGGGCATTTTAAAGCAGCGAAGATCAGCTGTTCTGTCAGTGAGCTGACATATGAGCGATACGTTGATGATTCGACTGATCTGGCTTTAAAAAGCTCCAGAGTGAACTTATGACCTTTACGACCAATCATTTCTGTTGGGCATGTGAACACAATGACATATCATGGGTGTTTAAGAATGCGCTCAACATCACTTAAATGTTAGCAAGAAATGTATGTTTTTTTAAAATTTCAGTACCAATTGGTATCGAAATTCAGTACCATGACAATACTACTTATGAACCAGACTATCATAAAGGGGCATTCTGGGTTAAGCAAGCAGCAATTTTACCAGTCTGCTTTCATGATTTGCTCTATAGTAATCTTATATTTTGTATCAGTGCGCTAGAAAATGTCTTTCTACAATTTTCAGTGGACAAAACATATTATCATTGTATTTTTGGCAGAATGATCAAACACGCAGGAACCCAACAGTATTGTACAACACCGAGCGATCTTTATGTTCTTTCTTCAGTTTTGTTCACTTCAAATTTAATATGATGTCCAATCTGACTCAGGCCAATTCTCACATAAATTCTCCGTTATCATTGGTTGCTTTCATCCAACCATGAGCATAAGATGTTCCAGTGGGCTCCACTTGAAACACTTGTCTGAAGTTTTTGCTCTTTGAACTTTTGCGCAAGACCCGAGCTCTAAAACATACCGTGGTTTCGTGGCTCGAATAAAGCCCTTTGTGCTGTTTTATTTTATTTTTTTGGTTGGTGAGGCCGGCTATAGGGGAGAAGCGTTTGATGTCTGTGAGCCCGTCCTGCATCCAGTCCCACACTTTCACACACTTCCGTCTCACCCTGTTAATTCTTCACTCTTTTGAAGCCACTTTTCAAGTTGGAGAAGAATAAATTGTACCTCCAAGCGCGAATCGGCGCCTCACGAATACCTGCTGTAATCACAGACTGTGCACTTTTGTGTTATTACATTTCATGCTTTTACGTCTACGTGAATGTCCAACTACAATCTGTGAATCTGTGAAAAAAGATCTGGGTTTTAAGAGGCTTGGGAGGTAACAAAGTGTTTTATTGGAGATGTCGTTGGACTTTTCTTGTTTTCAGGATTTTTAGCACCCACTTGTATTGAATGCATTTGATAGTGGATTGTAGCCCTTGTCCGTTGGTTTGAATGTAGGGATGCTCTTAATAACCATTAGCCGGAAGAGTCCATTTTTAACTAATTAATGGTATCAATTAAACAATAAAAAAATATTATTATAATATTTTGTTGTAAGTTTGGCTGCATAAATGTGCAACACATATTTGTTAACTCGCAGGACGTTGACATGTGCAACCACATGTGCCTACAGACGTATTTTGCCAATGAAGCAAAATTAAAGAAGGATAGGCCTATTGCTGGCCACAGTTTCACACAAATGAGTTAATGCCAAACCAGCACTGACGCTGATTGCCTCTGTCCTGGATCTGCGTCATAAACACAACATTATTTGCACAATTGGAGAAAGAACCCACAAAACAAAACTTTCTGAAATGTGCTTTGCTTTTAAAACAAGCCGCTCACAAGTCGGCACCGCTCATAAACACAACAAATAGGCTATAGTTTTGATGATTTAGTCTATAACCAACAAAACTTTCTACTTGGAAAATTACAGTTATTTATAGTTCTTATAAAATATCCATTTTTAAACTAGCCTACATAGTCTAATCTAGGATTCAAACAAATCCAATGATTTTCTTGATTTTTGCATACTAATAACTAAGCACCAAATTGGGGCTTTCATTTTACAGCTTATATAACATGTACTTACATTAA